TTTAGCTATTGAACTTGAAATAATGGGACACCCATTTACTCATCTAACACAAAAATTCAGGCTAATTTTACTGGTAACACATTAGGCATGATGGCTTTATTAGTCAAGTCATTTAAAATTCTGCATAAGTTAATTTTGGGTGTCACGAAATCAGTATGGTCAACCTTCCCGATTTGCTCTAGTCCTCCTTTCCCCATGAACATGAATAAAAAGTCCAGTTTTGGAGTCTTTGAAAGTGCAGGAAAATGCAATGGTGTCAAATGCAGAAAGAATATCCCTGGGGCTTTTTGTCTGCCCTCTTCTGATGACACACCCAGTTCATTTTGGAGAACTGCCCTGCCCCCTAACCCCACATTCCAATTTCAACACTAATCTTCACCCTGGCTGCCAGTCACGGCCCCCACTTACACAGACTGGCTCCTGACCCAGGGGCCCCAACACAGCCCTTCGCACCCCTAGGACAGAGTTTAGTACAGCAATGGGCTCGTAATCCAGGCCAGGCCAATTAAATGCCTTTCCTGAAATTCTCCCCACTGGACTCCTTTCAGGAGTGAAACAAAGAATTTAAGCCCAGACGTCCCTGCGTGTGGTCTGAGAGAGAAGGCAGCCCAGGAGCATGGGGCTGCCGTGGAGAGAGAAGCTTGGGGAAGAGTGGGGGAGACTTCCAGTGAAAATGTAGGGCTGGGACCTCTACACTTCTACTGTAAAAACCATGAAGTGTCCTTTTGAGCTTGAACAGGTTTGAGTTAGTTCTCGTCATTTGCATTCATGGAATCCTGGCTCATGCAGGTAGATGGTGACCTTACTGGGTTGTCTTCCTGGTCCTAGTGTCTAGGACAAGGGTTCCCTGGGCACCGGCTCTGCAGTCCATAGGGCTGGCTTCTGAAGTCCTGTTTTCTGCCATGACCCTGTCACCCTGCCAAGGCTTACTGGTCCAGGGTTGTGCCTGATTCAGTCAAGGTTTCATCTCAGGAGGTTAATTAAGGTTTTGATCTGGGAGAAGACCAGATTGGTCATGGCTAGATTCTGTGGGCACTGGCACTCTGAAGGGAGAGGAAGATGCGGTCACCATGTCCCTGGTTCTGGCCCTTCCTGAGGCTTATTTATTTGACCCCATCCATGATGGATTCTAAGAGTTACCCAGTCCTTCCAAGACAGCAATTGGTTTACTCTTCAAACCAAGAGACCATGAGATTATACACCAAAAAACTGTCTCTGTAAGTCATTGGTTAGGATACTTTTCACTATGGGAAATATAAGACCTCAAAGACAACCCCCTGGAGCAATCAGGAACTTGTGCCTTGGACAGTTTGCCCAGAGGAAGGGTGGCCCCAGGTACGGAATATTCAGCAGCTCAAGAATATCACCAAGACCCTCATGTTTTATCTCTGTGTTTGCCATGAGCAGGGCTGACTTCTCTCAGAGGCTGATTCCACCGGGATCCCCAGTGGGTGCTGCTCACCATTGGGACCACCTATGCCACCACCCCACCCAGTAAGAGATGGAAGAACTTCTCCATGCATGGACCAGCCTAAGCAGACTTGGAAATAACATCCTGGCAGTGGTGTGAGAACAGTTCTAGGACGTCTTTACGAGTCAGAATTAATTTGGCTTGGCGACTGCCTGGCTGATGGGGTGTGGGAAGGGAGGAGTCAGGGGATACCCAGATGTCTTATTCAGGCATCTTGGTAGGTGGAGGTGGTGCCAGAGCTGGTTTGGCAGGATGGTGACAGTACGTGCAGGTTTGGTGCCTCCCCTGATTCACTCGGAACTGCCCAGGAGTCAGCTGGAGCCACCCGCCTCTGGTTGCGAGTGATTTCGTCATGGGTAAGACAAACTGTTCTCCCCCTCCCTGCCCAGAGAACCACTCACCTGGAGCAGGCGCCACCTGGGTGACTAGCGAGCTGTGGGCGCCCACACAGTGGCCGTCTCCACCTTCCGAGTCTGGTTTTGTTGGGGAACACACACATGCCCCACTCTAGAGCGTAATTAGCCTCATCCATGGCTCTCCACCATGGCTGCCCATTAAAATCAACTGAGGAGCTTGGAAAAAATCGCCAGTGCCCAGGATCCTCACATACATATAATTGTGGTAAAAAATGAAAAACACGTAACAAAATTTACCATCTTAACCACGTTAAAGTGTCCCGTTCGGGCTTTACGCGCATTCACGCTCTCATGCAAACATCACCACTGTCCATCACTAGGATGTTTTCATCTCCCCAGACTGCAACTCCGCATCGCCCCTGCCCTCCGCCCCGGGCAACCCCGTTCTCCTTCTGTCTCTGTGAATGCAACTCTTCTAAGTGTCTCGTGTAAGTGGGATCTACAATATCTGTCCTTTTGTGACTGGTTAGTTCACTTAGTGTTAGGTCTTCAAGGCTTGTCCAAGTTGGAGCAGGTGTCAGAATTTCCTTCCTTTATTTTAAGGAGGAAACATTCCATTGTGTGGATGGGCCCCGTGCTGTTTATCCGGTCATCGGTCAGTGACCACCTGGGTGGCTTCTGTCCTTTGGTTATTAGAGTAATGCTGCTGCTATAAATACGGGTGTCCAGGTATCTCCATACTTTTTAATAGCTCTCCATGGGATTCCAACATGCAGCAAAGGTTGAGAACCATTAGTGCAGGGTGGTCCCCGGAGCTTGTGAGGGCCCTGGGGAGAGGTGTGTCCCCTTAGTTGGCCTGATCCAGCTGTTCTGTTTCAAGTACTTGTCACATCCAGTGATCAGATCTTCCACGTCTGTCTCCATCAACAAACTCCAAGCCTCAGGTGGGTTAGCTAGGTTTTGTCCCCTCGGGGCCTCCCAGATCTCTCTCCAAGTCTGGCATCCGGCGGGAGCTTGTTAAGTTACTGCTGAATGAAGACCACCAACCCACCACTTAACTACATCTGACCATTAAAACCAACTGCTCCCTTCTGCTGCTAGAAATTAAGTACCATCAGACCCTGGGCCCTGCCTACGACCCTGATGGGGGCCTGGGCCGAAGTTGGGGACTATGATTTTTATGAATTAAAATTACATGGGTTAAAGAAGCCCCAGCACAGATGGGGAAACAGCATGGTGGTAGGAAGAACAGGGGCCACGGCTCCTGGCTCTGCTTTCTTCCAGGTCAGATGCTCCAAAAGGGGTGGCTGTGCCCCGCCCTTGCACCTGAACGAGACGCCTGAATGGTCTTCCCCACAAATGTTTGTTTCCCCATCCCCACAACCCACTTTAGAAGGAAAAGGAAGCCATACCGCTGTCTTCTTACTGAGGTGGTTTTTCTGGGCCCTCCATCCACATCTGCTGCTCACATCCTTGTGTTTACTGTGCTTTTAATGTTTAACCTGAGTTCCCAAGATCAATTTTTACTAAAGCCTATGAAAGTTGAGAAGTAGGCCCAGATAAAAGAAATACCCAACCCCCCAAGAAAGCTCGCTTTACTCCACGGTTAAGTCGATGGAGACAGTTGGAGGGGAGCAGGGGTGTAGCAAATTGAGAATGCATTGTCTCCCCTTCTGTCTTAGAAGCCCCCAGACACACTGTGCAGTGGGGCAAGGCAGCAGGCACAGGATTCGGTGAGCGGAATAGTGAGCCTGCCCCTACTTCTGTAGTATTACCAAGGTCTGGGGGTTAGGGCCAGGACTGGGGTGGGGCACTGAGGCTGGGTCCTGCGGGGTCGGAGCTGGTCTTTATTTGAAAGGGGCAGATTCTGCTTATCATGGGTATTTTTTGCATTCGTTTTGGTTTCTTGAAGTAGCACACTGACACTGTTTCTCCTGATTGCTTGTTTGGCAGCCCGTCCGTTCTGTGACGTTCTTGACTCCAGTCACTCTGGGCACCTGCCCGCTTGCCTTCGAGGTAGGGCCTGCGTTTTCAGGAGGAGAGCTTGAAGCCGCTCCTTGATCTCACACAGCCCCAAGCCCCTTTTCTTCGGGCCAACTTCCTCCCCGGTCTCTGCCCCCACACATGCTGACGAACCCTCCTCGGTCGGTCTGCCTTCCTGCTCTGCCAATGACCCTCTCCCACCACTTTCCCGGGGTAAACAACACGAGGGCACCAGGAAGACACGAGAGGGCCCGTGAAAGGTGGCCCTCCCCCATTCCCATGGAGGTCTGCTGCCAATGCAATTTTTGAGCTTCAGATGGAAAAAAACCCAATTAACAAGGGCCTGTTCCTTTCTAAAGAAATCTTTCTTGTACCAATAATGATGCTAATAGTACCCTGGGTGAACCATGGCCAGCCTCAGGCTCTGGAACCTCCAGGCAGCGGGCTGGTACCCTAGGAAATGGAATTCTACGTAATTGTAATTGGACTCAGCATGGCAGCCCAGGAAAAAGTCCTAATGGCATAAAAGGGTGGACAGATCTTTAAATGCAGATAACCCTATTTGAGCAATAACCCAAAGAGCTAAATACATTGATCATGAAGAATTAAATAAAAATGAAGACAACAACTCAGGCCTTATGAAAACTGCAGTACCACGTGAGCTACAAAGAATTCTTTAAGAAGGCCTTAAAATGAGTGTATAAATAAATGTGTGTATCTTTATACCCCCACCACCTCCCTAGAACAGTAGGGAAGAAAGCAAGCCCAGGAGTCTGGGCTCTCCTGGGATGGCAGCTGAGATCCCTGAACCTCAGGCCCATGCCTGTGAGAACCTGAGAGGGAACTGTGTCCACTCATCACATCCTTGACCCTGGGTGGTCCCGCACTGCTTGCTTCGGCAGCAGTAAACCCACCTGAAAACAAATGGCCCACGTCTCTGTCACTGTTTCAGCCAGTCTTCAAAGTCACAAGGATCTAGCCCAGCTCGTCCTCCTTGGTACTATCTTAATAATTCATTACTGTTATTATGGATGTGCCATAAAATAATAATTACTCCACTTACTGGCCTGATGTGAAATGTAGTTACATATGCAAATAGCTTTATAAAAGTATTGTGTGAAGAACAGCCTGGCACACCAGCTGCCGTGCTAGGCAGACCGTGATCCCTAGGCCCAACCACAAGGTCTTACCAGGACCGTGTGCATCCCGGTGTACAGCCTGCTGAGGCACACCAGCGTGGAGAACACCACAGCCATCATCAGTCCCAGGCCGAAAGGGTACTGCGGGGAAGAAGAGGACACAGGGGTGTTAGGTGGTGCTCACACACATGCAATTGGTACCCCAGGAGGGAGCAGGACTCCTGATCCAGCAACTGCCAGTCTGAGCCTGGCACGCCCTGGACCAGCAAGCGGATGATCACGGGAGACTGGGGAAACTGCAGAAAGAGGGGGAAGATGCCCAGGAATGTAGTTCTGGGAGGAAGTTTCACAACATAAGACATAGTAGAACTTGGCTGTAAGACTCTCATCTACAGCGATTGTTCTGGCTATTTTCATGGAGTAGATAATTATTTCTTTCTACCTGTTCTTAGAGTAAAACTTATGAAGTATACACTGTTGAACAAGGGGCAAGCTAGCACCATGGTGATACAGCTTGGCAACCATGGGCTTCCTGAGAATGGACAGGGATGATAGGCCCGAGCTACAAGTGGGTGTGGTTGTGTACAGATGTCAAGGCGGAGGCCCAGACTTCATTAAACCTCAACAGTTGCTGGTGAGAGAGCAGCCAGAAAAAGCTGGGTAATGCCAAATTGTGTAAGGAGCATAAAAGTATTCTGCTTATAAACTAGACATAGGGCTATGATCCACGTGCTTCAGGGACTCATTAGTCTGGCCTTCCACGGGGCAGAAAAATAGAGAATGGTCTACGCTATCAACGCACTTTACAGTCACCATCTCATTTAATCTTCATCTAATGCTATGAAGTAGGTTCTATAATTAGCTGCATTCTACAGAGGAAGAAACCCTTAATCACAATAAGTTACATTAGTGTTAAAATTTAGCACAAAAATGCTTCCCCGTCCATCATCACATTTGATCCTGAAAACAGGAGCCGGGGCTCAGAGAGGCAAAATGACTTTTCCAAGGTCACATGGCCAGAAGAGACAGGGTCAGAACCCAAAGCCACACAGTCTGAGACTAAGGCCAGCATGTTCTTTCCAATGCAACGTGTGAGTGCAGCAATACACAGCTGTATGTCTTTTCTTAAGACTTATCATGAGCTGGGTTAAAGCAAAAGAGGGCTAAAAATGAATACATGGATGCATTATGAAATTAGAGTCTGGGCATTAGGTTCAGCACATATGTATACAAACAAATCCATGTTTAGTGCTATTTAGAAGCAATAACTCAAATAGCTAAATATATTTATTCTTAAAATTAGAAAGGCCCAGGTGGCCTCAACTGCATGTTCAAGTGCTGGTTGTCTCCCTGTATTCAGCCTCCACTGCCTGGTTTTTCCAGAGTAAATCAGCATGTTCGCAGGCCGCTCTGGGTGCTGAAAGCAGCCCAGTGGGGGCCAATGCGGGGTCCACTATGTTCTTCTGGGGTAGAGGTCGCTGTGCTCAGAAGTCCGCCTTCAATTAATTCAGACAGGACTGGGACACTCGGACATTTTTTGATCCTGGCCTGACGTTGAAGTAAGTTACGACACAAGGTTATACTTAGCTGAAGATATTCCGTATACTCGTCTCTTTCCCAGTTAGGTGTAAGCCCGGGTGACCAGGTAGATGACAGCCAAGGTAGAGCTAGGACCCAATGCTAATCTAGTCCTCTTCCAACCGCATGAGGGCTGACCCCCCCCCCCAATATAACCTGGAATGCAGAACGTCCCTGAGCTTCTTGGGTATAGAGCAGGGCAAAACAATACTGTCATTTGTGAATAATACTGCTAGATTTAATGAAATCTATATTTTCCAGCAATCAAAGGTAAAATTATGACAGTTAATTATGAAATATAACACAAACGAAAGCAAGAGTTACCAGACAGACAAAATAAAAGTTCATTGCAGTAATAACTTCTAAAAGGCCTGACTGTAACTGGCATCTAAGCACATATTAAGTAAAATTCTTCTATTTTCAGCATTTATTGATATTCTATAATTTAGACTAATCTAGAAAACGTGGAGCCATTGTTTCTAATGGCTGAGCCTGGCACAGAGGCACCTTTGGGGAATAAGGCGGGCCCACTCGTTTGCCCCCCACCCTGAGAAGTCTAGCGGGAGGATTTGGTGGCCTCATCTCAGCCCTGGAGGATCGTTTACTAGGATCAGAAATGCCTCGTGTTTGTTGTGGAAGGGATGAGAAAACTGATTCAAGTGCTGTCTCCTTGGGCAGCTCTGGGGGAAAATACTTTCTGCAGGGGCAGCGACATGCCCTGATTCCCGAATTGTCTCTGGTTTTGCTGGTGTCCACTTCCATTCTCAGGCGCAACCTGATCTGGATGCTGTATAGGGTCACGTGACTCAGGAAGAAATTGTCATGGACAGCTCAGTAGGTTCCCCCTGAGGGTTCATTTCATACACCTCAAAGTCCCTCAGAGCAGCTTTAAAAGAATGTTTGGAAGTGAGACCTCTCTGCACTCTCACTGTGTGGAGAACCTCAGACCGGAGGGAGAAGAGTCAGGCACCTTACCTTGTACCTTTCCATGGTAGAGATGAGGAGGGTGAAGGAAATGGCAGTGGCCGCCATGGCATGGGTAGAGGGCATTCCAAACTCCACGATCATTCTCTTCTCCAGTTTCACGACGGGAGGGGAAAAGGGGCGGGGCCATTTCAAGATATCCTTGGCCACCTGGCCAATATACATCACCAGCTACAAAACCAAAGGACCAAAATGAGTCTATCCAAATAAGCGACACTAGCGAACTCCCACATTTCATGAATTTGGGGGGGGGGGCAAGGGGAGGGATTTCCTGTTTGTTGACTGAAATCCCCTTTCTTTCAGACCCAGCGACCTACCGTGAAAGACTTGCAGAGTGATATTTATTTGGTAAATAGAAAAACAGGCCTGCTGGATTCTACAGAGCATCTAAGACATAACATCAATTCTTTTTTTAAAAGACTTAATTTATTTCTTTTTAGAGAGAGGGGGAGGGAGGGAGAAAGAAAAGGAGAGAAACATCAATGTGCGGTTGCCTCTCATGCACCCCTGACTGGGGGCGTGGCTGGCAATCAAAGCATGTGCCCTGACTGGGAATCAAACCAGCGACCCTTTGGTTCGTAGGCTGGCACTCAGTGCACTGAGCCACACCAGCCAGGGCATGACCTTAACCTTTTATTTTAGTCATATAGTTAACAAGCAATTATATAGCTCAAATGTGTGCCCAGTACTGTTCTAAGAGCTTTACAAATACGTATTAACTTAATCCAATAAAATCTGTAGAGTGCAGACATCCCCCCCCCCACTGGCATGCAGATGAGTAAATCATTGTATACAGTCAGTAAACAATGGGACTCACTGGGTTTGCATCCAAAGCATTTGGCTTCAACGTCTGTGGTTAAACAACCACCTGATAGTGTCTATTCAAACACAATAGGATCCTGGACTAGAAGACCATCTAGTACTCAGATCAGAGAGCTGTTGTTTTCAAGTTCTAGCCAGAAAAGTGACTGTTCTATGGAACATCTACCTAAAATTTCTTTGAATCCTACTGTTACTCCTGTTATATGCAGGCAACACACTGGATTTAACTTAACCTCACTTAGTAGTCAGAAGCATCGGTAACATAAATGGCATGACACTTTCACTCCTAAAATAAAGACAACTCAGTCTGGAGGGGTTTGGTGTTTTGTTTTTTTTAATGACTTTTGCATGATGCTTTTAATGAAATTTTCAGTCCCTTTCTGTCTGTTCTTAAAGCAGATACAGAAATCAGAATTTGATTTCTATACCCCCAGAAATGAACAGGACTGTTAAGAGTGGACATTTATTTTGTCCGAGAGCTTTACAAGAGGGCAATTTCATGATCTGTCATAAAAGAGGAAAAAACAAGCCATTTGCTTAAGTCTCTGCATTTGCAACTCCAAGTATGGTCTGAGAACAGCACCACACTGGGTGCTATTTTAAAATGCAGCTCCCGGGCCCCGCCTGGGGTCCACTGAATTCAAACCCCCCGTTTTCACAAGACTGGTGGGTGGGTTGTGCACACACGGGAATTCGAGAAGCCCTGCTTTACCCAGTATTCCTGCGCAGGTCATCTTGCCATCGGCTTTAATCATAAACTTTCTCGTCTTACCATGACCCTATTGATCTTACTAGAGCTTTATTTAGCTTGTGATGGATGGGGTTACCTTGCTTTGGAACAAAAGCCACGATGGGAGAACTATTTTGGAACAATTTTGATGAGCCAGCCCAACTGCCTCGAGGCTTTCCCACATTCTGGAGCTTCCTTTCAGCTCGGTTAGTTGTTTAGCTGCGGGTTAATCTCCTGCACGTTTTTGTGCTCAGCTGCCCCTTTGCTCTGGGTTAGAAACTGAAACCCACTGTTGGTGCACAGCAGTCCCACAGGCTTTAAAGCCCCAGGGACAATCACTCCAAATTCCACAGCCTCGATTTCTAATCGGACTTTGAAACTTAAGCTGTTTACCATCCCCCTATTACCAGCAACCACTGTCCTGGAAAGCAGCTCACTCTTTCATGTTTCTGCCTCCCTCCTGCAAACCTGTAAAAACCACCTCGGACAGACTATTATCTGCAGAGTTGGCAAACCTGCAGATGTTATTGGCCACAAAGGATTTCACAGAGGCTGCTTGAGACTGATTTTCAACCCTGTGCCCTTGCCACTCAGCAACATAAACAAAATATTACAGGCATAATGACGAATTCTAGTTTGCTCAGAAATACTTTAAAATCCTTGGACACAGGAGACCTTAAGATCATGAAGTGAAGACAGACTGAGCAATCCTCATTCAGACAAAATTGACTTCACTTCTCTTGAGGTTCATGAGTTCCTCTGACTTCATTCATAATTTTACCTTCTATGACTGAAGGATGTTTTTAAGAATTAGGGCAGTTGCTCATTTCATTTTAAAATATTACCATAGCTCTACCTTGTTTCTGATCAGTGACTCTCCAATAGCAATTCCTGTAAGAACAGCTCTCTTTAAATGAGAAAACTAGAGACATATTTTTCAAGTCACACAGAAAAAGTACCACTTACAGGGGGTGAGTCCTGTCTCCCAATCATTACAACAAAGCTACGAGGGGCCACGCTCTGTGTTAGGTCCCTACCCTGGAGTGGGACAGACAGCCACACAAACAGGGGATCTCGCCACAATACAAACGTGCTTTGAGACAAACTGTCCACAGAAGTCCATGGTGTGTCTACCTGCAGAGGCAGACTTGTGTTCCTCCTGGGGGACCAGCAGCACTGGGGCTGAATGCTAAAGGATGATTGTTTAATTAAGAGGAGGGACGGGTAGAGAGGCATCCAGCTTGCAAGCATAGTAGGAGCAAAGGCTTGAAGAAGTGACGCTGGGAGGGGAGGAGCAGTAGAGTTTAAACTGTGAGGCACACCACTTCTGACCTGATAGAAGGGCTGCCATTAAAGGGACTGACCACGCAGTGGGTCAGGGTGGATGGGAAGCTCCTGGAAATCTCCTGCACCTCTGGAGGGTAAGCAAAACACTACGGCCACTTTGAAAAAGGGTTGGACAGTTTCCTCACCTGTGAAGCACGCACTCTTCACATGATCCAGCTGTGCCACTCCTGGGCATTCACCCAAGTAGAATGGGAGCATAAGTCACACAGAGACTTGTGCATAAACATTCATGGCAGCTCCTCTGTAACAGCCCCAAACTGGGAACACCACCATTTCCATCCGTAGGTGAACAGATACACAAACTAGAGTGTAATCATACAGTTGCATACTTCTCGGCAACAACAATATAAATTATTGATATCACACTGCAGCATAAATGAATCTTAAAATAATCACGCTGAGTTTCTGAAGAAGCCATATCCAAGAACAAACAAACAAAAAAGAGAGTACATACTGTATGTTTCATTTCTGTACAATTCTTGAAAATGCAAATGACCTTCTAGGACCGAAAGCAGATCAGTGGTGGTGGAGGAGGTGGGGAAAGAAATGACCAATCAGGAAACTTCTGGGAGTGATGGCTGCTTATCTTAATCATCACAATGACTACAGGGATATGCGTATATTTCAAAATGTGTCAAGTTATACATTTTAAATACGTGTGAACTTTGTGAATACACTGAAAATTACTCAACTATGTATTCTAAATGAGCGAACTGGATAGTATGTAAATTATACCTCAATAAAGCTGTTAAATATGTGCAGTTCATTGTATGCCAATCATATCTCAAAAAGTGGTTGTCTAACCCTGTTGGATGGCACAGACTGGGTGGCTCACAAACAACAGAAATTTATTTCTCACAGTTCTGGAGGATGGGAAGTCCAAGTTCAAGGTATTGGTAAGGGTCTGTTGCCTGGGTCACAGATGGCCATCTTCTTGGTACTAAAAAGTGACCTTTCAAGCCATGAAAAGACATGGAGGAAACATAAGTACATATGACTAAGTGAAAGAAGCCAATCTGAAAGGGCTACATACTGTATGATTTCATCTACATGATGTTCTGGAAAAGGAACAAGTGTAGAGACAGTAAAAGGATCAGTGCTCACCAGGGATTAGGGGAAAGGAGGGTGAACTGGTAGAGCACAGAGAATTTTTCGGGCAGTGAAACTACTCTGTATGGTCCTGTACTGGGGGATACATGTCATTATGCATTTGTCCACACCCACAGAATGTACAACAGTGAACCCTAATGTAAACGACAGGCTTGAATGATTATAATATGTCAACGTAGGATCATCAATTATAATAGAAGTCCCACTCTGGTAGGAAATGTGGGTAATGCAGGGGGCTGTTCCTGTGGGGAGAGGGGCTCTATATGGGAGATCTGTGTGCTTTTCACTCAATTTTGCAGCAAACCTAAACTGTTCTAAGAAATAAGGTCTATTAAAAAGAGTCCCATGGCAGAAGAGAACCATTTCTTCATTCAGGTGGCAGCTAAAGAGTATAAGGATTAACTTGATAGGGCTTGCCCCAAATGGAGAACTTTGCTCTGTACCTAAAGGACCAATTAAATTTCAACATCTTTTATATTCCTTTGGGTTACAGCACCAAAGGCCTATATGCAAAGGGAAAATCCGTGAGACGTTACACATCACTGACACCCTAGGACACCAGCTAGGTCCCCTGCATGGCGCTGGTGGTGATGGGTGGGGGTGGGGAGAGTGGAGTAGTATTTCCTGAAAAGGAATTAGCCAGATTTTCTTACTTCTGCCCTGATTACAGGATGAAGGAAATATGTAGGGGAAGAAAATCTATTTCCCTGGACAGTCTACTGCTGATCTCTAGCAGACACAGAGCTTTTCTGGAGAACCAATTCTGTCAACTGAAACATGTCCTCCTCCCAGCCTGGAGGACTGGTGGCCTTTCTAGTTATTACAGCCCCAAATGACAAGCTTACAGTGTCAAATACATCTCCAACAAACAGGATATTACTCTCCACCCTTGACCTAAATAGTTTAGAAAACAGAAGGTCATCAAAATAACATGATTTCCAGTAAAGCAGCCATAGGATTTTCACGAACAAAGCTGTGTGTTCATTCTTTATGCACTGAGATTGCTGGCTGCCCCCCTGCTCTTCCTGCCCACGCAGCACCTCCATCCCGTGGGGAGAAGGCTCCAATCTCATTACAACAAGAGCTAAGTCCACTGCAGGATGGAGGACAGGCTCTTTTCAAATTACTCCCCCCATGCCATTCATCCACGCACAAATTGTGA